GATGATGATTATTCAGAAGGAAACACAAATATAAATGACCTCACCCAAATATACATCTCACAAAAAACTAACATTTAGGAAAGTCCTTCCAAAACATGGTTTCCTCTAATTTCCCCCATGTTGACCAGCCAATTAAAGGCATATATATGTTTAAGACTTCACAAACCACGATAGAGAATCTCAAGATACACTTATCACCAATCATCTAGCCTAAAGTCATACTACCTCCTATGCCAGATATAAACAATTGAGAAGAAACTCCAATTGTCTCCAAACTAGTGTTTTTAAATGCGGGACACGGACCCAATGTAGTGGGGCATCCAATGTGGCAATACAGCTCGACGCGGTCCCAATGCTGGTACATGACCTCTAATGTGGTCAATAAATAAAAAATTTAAAAATCACAAAAATATAATACTGCATGGAAAAAAACATAAATCTGATATATGTCACGGTAAGTATTTTTAATTTATTCAATATCTATAATATATTAGCTGCTTGAGACTCAAAGTCCCCTAATAGCCTGACAAAGAGAAATAGAGTTTGTTGTTCTAACTTCTAATCTTTAATAGTTCAAATATCTAACACAATTAACATGTAAAATAAAGCAATCTATTCTATCTCATCTAAAATATCCAAAGTTCCAAACTTTATAGGTTAAATTCCAAAGAGGCAGAGGCCAAAAGTTTATGACATATAAAAGAAAAAGATAATCAACTCTCAACTCTTAACCAAACAAGTCATCAAATACTTGAATTTCTTCTATCAATTTTTTTGTCTCATTTTCTTTTGGCTATCTTTGTATGCCCTAATCTCTCTTGCAATCTCATCGGTTGCTGGTTTGCATGCTTTAGCATTCCCTCTAATACCAGTACAATCAACTTAGAAATGTGTAAAATGGTGCCAATCTCATTGGTTGCTTGTGTGCATCAAATGGAGCGATTCGCTCAGTGCATTATGTGGCTGCATTTTAAAATTATGCTCCAAACTGGTTACTAAAGCCATCAAAGATAGTCATGATGCAGCTCACCCATACAGCCTACAACCCAGTTCCCTAATAAAATCCAATTACACAGACCTAGCACCTATAAAGCCCAATATTCCAAAGTATACAAGCTCAAGAATTGTAGAAAGCATAGTAAAATCTCCATCTAGATCAATCTTGAATCAATTCATATAAATTGAACTTTATGGAGGCTGGGTTATCTCTCCCACTAACGAGGGCATGTGGCCACTTCCATTTGCAATATGGCCTTCAAGATACCAGTCTGGACGAAGGAACGTCTACCTCTCCGAATGCATATTAACAGTTAAAAAAGGATCGAGCAGATCATCATCTCCTCAGGCTTCACTTTATTTCACTATTATTAGGAGAGAAGCCATCCACTGTCTGCAAAGGGGAAGCTATAACATTCATCAACATCACTCCCTATAGTCCTCTTCTTCAACCTTAGAAAATGAGACTAAACTCTCCTAAACTCCCAAGCCCAAGATCAACTTACAAATGCCGAAAGAAGCCCCCATCAGTCTCATCCTGGAGAATGTGCAGCACTCCAAAACCCCGGGATTCTACTTCTAACAACAACACCCCCCAACCCCCACAAAACAAAAACAAAAACAAAAAAAGGTCAATTAAGATAATTTGTACTCAACCTCAACTGGCTAGAAATTTTTTACTTTCAGCTCTCTTAAACTGCCGAAACTCCATAGTAGGAACCAAAAGCACAATAGTTTATCAAGACAAAAGTAACCCACAAGCTCAACAGAAGAGCTTAATAGAAGAGGTTCTATTCTATGTTTCTATCTGTTCCTTAAAATGCCAATTAAAAACAAAAAAAAGAAGGAAGCAGTTTAAGGAACATAAACCATATTTATGTTCCTTAAAATGGTTTTGCGCAAAGGAAGGTGCATCTCTCTGAAACACGTTAATTTACATTTAAAGAAAAATGTGTGGATTGTCATCTCCTCGGTCTTCAATTTATTAAGCTAATATGAGGAAAGAAGCCTTCCTCTGTCAGCAAGAAGAAGCTATGACATTCGTCACCATACTCCCAATAATCCTCTTCCTCCACCTAAGTCAATGATACTGAACTTTCCTGAGCTCCAAAGCCAGGATCAACTCACAAATGCCCAAGAAGCCTTCACAATAGTTTCACCCTCGCAAGAATGTGCAGCACTCCAGAACCCCAGGATTCTACTTCTCACCAACATCCCCAAAAAAAAAAAGTCAAATTAAAATAATTAGAAGTCAACCTCAACTTTCTACAAGTTCTTTATTTTCATCTCTCCCTTCAGCTGCCAAAACTCCTACAATAGGAATCAGAAGCATGGCAGCTTATCAAGAAAAAAATAACAAGAAGCTCAACATAAGAGCTTAATAGTTGAGGTTCTATCCTATCTCGTCCTTAAATGCCATTAGGAATGAAAGTAGTTTAAGGAACATAAACAATATTTCTAGGAGGATATGTTCCTTAAAAATGGATTGGCACAAAGGAAGGTGTATCTCTCTTAAAGCATACTAATTCACAATTGAAAAGGGAAATGTGTGGATCGTCATCTCCTCAGTCATCACTTTATTAATCTACTATTAGGAAAGGAGCCTTCCGCAGTGTGCAGACCAAAAGTTATGACATTCACCGCCATCACTCCCAATAGTCCCATTCCTCCACCTTAGTCAATGAGACTAACTGAACTTTCTTGGGCTCCAAAGCCCAAGATCAACTCACAAATGGTGGAGACCGGCCACCCAGAACAAGTCTCTATGGGCCCAGGTCCTCTACAGCAAATATAGAATCTTGGAAGATTCTTGGGTCCCCGAGGGAAGATCTCTGAGAAGGGCCTCAGGAGCATAGAAGTCCTTCTTGACATCCCTCTCTATGTTCAAGCAATTCATTCATCTTCATCCTAGAGAAGGAACTAGAGTGCACTTCTGATCAGACCTTTGGCTAGCGACACTCCACTAAGGGACCTCTTCCGCTCCCTCTACTCTCTCGCCTCTAACAAAGCCTCCACTATTGCAAAGGAGATGGTTGCCTCTTGGGATCACAGGATCTGGAACCCCTCTTTCAGATACCACCTTTTAGAGGAGGAAACAAGACAATTCAAATTCCTTTTGGCTCCTCTTCACTCCACCTTCCTCGCTCTCTCAGGGAAGGATATACCCTTGTGTGGACTCTCTCCCCCTCTAGCTCATTTATGGTGGCCTCCTTTTATAAAAGACTTATTCAACCATCTACCTTCCCGCTCAACCCAATCTCGGTTCTCTCCAAGGTCTGGTCCACCATTGCACCGCCTAAAGTGCAGGCATTCAACTGGATTGCCTGCTCCCAAAGAGCCATCACAGTAGACCAGCTTCAAAGGAAAGGGATTCCGATCCCCAACAAGTGTGCTTTGTGTCTCTGTGAGGAGGAAACGAATCCTCACCTGTTCATTCACTGCAGGCTAGCTTTTGACCTATGGAGTCAAATCATCTAGTTGTTTGGCCTCTCATGGGTCACTCCACCATCCATTCCGGCTCTCATCACTTCGTCTCTCGTTTCTCATTGGTCAAAGTCGGGTAGAATCCTCTGGAGGGCTTCTATTGCAGCTACTATTTGGGTTCTTTGGCTGGAAAGAAACTCCAAGATCTTTCAAGGTCTCAAGAGTGAAGTTCGAGCCCTCTTCCACAAGGTTACTTCCTTAGTAATCTTTTGGGCCTCCAATCATAAGGCCTTTGCCGGGGTTTCGGCTAATACTTTCCTTAGCCAATGGGAAAACATCCTCCACCTCTAACCCCATCGGGTCTCAAGACCCAACAACTGGCTGCCACCACCAGAAGGCACCATCAAGCTTAACTTCGACGGATGCTCCTTGGGCAACCCAGGCCCAGCAGGAGCTGGAGGAATTTTTCGAGATCACAACGGCAACATCCTAGCCACTTTCCCTGAGCAATTTGGCCATGCAGATTCGCAATACACTGAATCCATGGCACTATTGTTGGGACTAAAAAGATTCCACCATTCTTGAGGATCTCAGTTGTTTGTCGAGGGGGATGCCAAAAATATCATATCCTGGGCTGCTGGAAACGCCCCCCCTCCATGGTACCTATCCTCTATTTTTATGAGATTGCGTATACTTGCAGGGATATAATCGTCTCCTGAATGCATATCTGGAGGACGTCGAACAAGTTCGCAAATCTTCTAGCTAAGGATGGTGCTCGGGCTCAAGCAGATGCTCCCATATAGTCGCAACTTTTTGCGTTGCTGCATTGTTCATACTTTCTTCGCTGGTCCATCTTTGCTCTGGACCTCTACGAGTGCATTGTATTTTGCTTTTCCTATGTACATCGTTTGTAATCGGGTAAGTCTTATAAGCCCCAATTTTTTGTATAGGGTTACAGAGTAGTGATTGATTTTTTGATCAAGAGACCTGGCCTGGGGGTTTTTTGATCAAGAGACCTGGCCTGTGGGTACTCTCGAGTCTCTCTCTTGCTTTCCGATGCTTTTTTAGTAATACATTCGTTAACCTCACCCCAAAAAAAAACTCACAAATGCCCAAAGAAGCCTCCGTTATCGTTTCACAGTGGCAAGAATGTGCAGCACTCCAGAACCCCAGGATTCTACTTATCACGCACCCCCACCCCCACCCTCAACCTCAACTGTCTACAAATTCTTTAATGTCATCTCACTCTTCAAATGCCACAGGAACCAGAAGCATGAAATTTAACATACACACAAAAAAAAAAAAAAACTGCAAGCTCAACAGAAGAGCTTAATAGTAGAGGTTATATCCTATCTGTTCCTAAAAATGCCATTAAAAAAGAAAGTACTTTAAGGAACATAAACCATACTAAAATATTTTTCTGTAGGAAGTTGTCTATCCAGAAAATTTTAAATCAAAAGGACCTAACGAAGCCAATAATATGCAAAAGCTAAAAATAAAATGTGCTACCAACTTTAGTTCCAAATGCTAAATAAACAAACCATAAAGAAAGCTTCCAAAAATAGCCATTAAAATATTACCTTAGCAAATTTTCCATGGAATATAGAAAGAGCTAATCTCCAAAATGCTGGCACATGATGGATAAGTACAGCAGTCAACCTGCAGATATATCTTCCTCGAAGAGCATCCATTTCTTCACCAGTCAAGTCCGTTGGTTGAGCATCCACTGACAAAAGATTATCTCCCAAAAGAAGGGAGTAGTCCACTGCTGACTGACAGTGACAGAAAAAAATTATATCAAAATAATTTACAAAAAGAAGTGTACTTCAAATGAATTTGCAACAACTATACTTCTTAAGAAAAGAAACAAAAGCACTCTTGAAAATCAAGAAATAAAAAATAAGACATATCTTGAAATTCTGTGTGTGAGCAGGCAGGCCAAGACCTTATAGAATAGTGGTGCATTTTGACGGTCTTAGGCTTATGTGCATCAGGCATGAATGGGAGTGAGATAGAATCCCCAGAAAGCTACCAGCTCATGCATCAAAGAACAAAGAAAACCATTCATAATAAGCCCAGGAACATACGGTTTTGTTTGAATCTTGTTGAATTTGCCTCCATCTTGCATCTGAAAGCACTTTCTCATGGAGCTGGGAATGCAAAGCTTCCATCCGACCATCATGTTCTATGGTACACCTTTCAAATAACCCCCGAATCCTGCGATTCTGCGAAAACAGATGAATCTAAAGTCTAAACAACTGGACAAAAGGTGATGAAACAATAACATAACTCATTATAATAGCTAATTATGATTAAAAAGAACACTTCCTTCCAAAACATTCCTAAAATCAACTGTACTTCTGTACTGTGAGTTACCTGAATGTTGAGATAGTGCCACACAGGGTCTGAATCAGGTTCCAACTCCAACAACAGCCTGACAGTGTTCTCGAGCTGGATCAAGGTTAGATCAAATTTCAGTCGGGAACACATCACAGATCAGAGATAAACCATAAAAATTGAGAAAAGAACAAATCAACAAATGCTTCAAACACAATATAATAAAGTAGAGATGCCTATGGATGGATAGAAGTGAACAATTTGACAAACAGTTACAGGTGCTAAAACCAAATATATTATCTATTTCTCCTTGATACAGCAAGTGATGTCTCTAGTACTGGCCCATTAGAGATTGAGCCACAAAAAAATCATAAAATATAAGAGAATCCTTGTACTAAGAATTTTTTGGAAGGAAAAAAAATTGTCGAAAAATCACATTTTATGATATAAGAGGAATCTATGCTGGAAAGTTTAAGGAACAAGAAGGGCATCTCATTTTTGTGAAGAACTGTTTTCTTCAACCTACAGTACACTGTAATGGTGCAGAAAGGAGAAGTATATACTTGCTAGACACCCATGAGAAACTCATGTCTAACAAGACACGGAAGAAGAAAAATTAAAATTTCCAACCATTCTCCAGAGATAAAGCAAAAGGGGCAGAACGGCCACTACTGGGAAAGCATCAAGCAGCTTTTGCTTACAAGTTCTAATAACCTAACAACATGCAAATATGAGAACACATATGACACAAAATTGATTACTATATGAACATAAAACCACTCTCCATCACACTAGTCCCTCTTCAAGATAATGACCCAGTTCCTTCTCTTTGAGTAGTTCAGCAGTAGGAACCAAACTTAGGATGTAGTGTAGCAAGTGTCAACAACTAACCAATCTTGTGACCCAGTGTGACTGGGCTTTTTTGTAGATGGTTTTTCTTTTTCCTATGTAAGGGTTTTTGTACTTGTATCAGCCCATTTTTTGTATAGGACTACCATCTCGTTAAGTCTATTTTTTTGGCAAGAGGCCCAGTCTGTGGTTTTCTCTTCGCAAGATGTACTCACCTCTTATCTATACTACAGTTAACAGTATTAAATAAAAAAAGTTAAAAGGAAAACACAAACATAAACAAATGGTGTAATTTTATAAATGAACACCCATCTTAAAATCCATAAATTTGATCCATACAATTCAAAATGGTCATTAACTATTTTGAATGTAGACTATGTTTAAGTCAAGACACAAAAGACAATCTCTATTACTAATGATAATTTTCCTTTTCTTTTTAAATGTTAATCTGGGTTGGGATTGGAACTCTTGACATAACATTGTAGCTCCATGTATCTTGACCGAGTGTCTAGAACCCCATTCGGGTAATAATTATTTTTCGTTCCAAATAATCTGATGTTTTCTAATACAATGAGTTCCTAAGCACAAACATTTTTAGATATGAAGAAATAAATGCCATATAAAATGCAAACGACGACTAGGATTATAAAAGGTGGCATGACTTTGAAATTGAGTCCTTGGCCCAACAAAATATTGATTAAGAAAACTAAGAACAATAAGATATACTAACAATTTTTATTTGTGATATTGCACCCAATTTTTAACTCGTGAACTTCAAGCAAACCGTTATCATGAACAGAGAAGAAGAAATTCTCAACTTACATCAGCTAAGTCTATTTGTGGGTCTTCCATTGATCTATAAAGCATGCTCTTAAATTCCTGCATCACCTTTTCAACCTCCTCAAGAACACGTTTTAATATTCCTACCTGAAAAAAGATGGTAAAGGCAAAAATATATAATAGTAATTATGGTATTACACTTGGAAATTGTGAAACAAAATAAATACTGAAGAAATGGCATCCACTTTTTTATCAGAACCCCACTTCAAGAGTAAGAGATTTGTGCTTTGAACCATTGGAGATGCAGTTTAGAAAATTATAGAAGCTAATGACGCACGTCATTGATTATATGAATCTCATATAGAAAGCCATGAGAGGAAGACAATCTCCTAAGAGCAGAAAACTAAGGATAGTACAATGATGGACTGCAGATAATCTAGAATATTCGGAAACCTTGGAAAGACTCACAAAACCTTCATAGGTCCCATGGGCATTTGTGAAAATAGCAAGGGGAAAAGGGACTTATTTTTGGAGAAGGCTAATCGATAAGTGAAAGTCATACAGAGGGATGATTAATAATGTTGAAGGAGAAGAATTGAGGGTAGCAAGGAAAGATGGGACACCACAAAAATATCGCATCTGAGTAGTTTCCCTCATATGTTTACTTATCTAACAAAAGAAAGAAAAATAATAAAGGGGAAAAGGAGTCACTGGACAGTTCTTAATTACATGTGAAGGAAGAACAATTGACTTTGCTTTCCTATATTCCCTGACAGCCAAATCATACTCTCCCTTGCTTATGCTCCCACGTATTGCACTTGGTAAATTGAATAATGTTCGAAACCTCTGTAGCATTCCTTGGACAGATCTGATCTTTTCAGCTTGCACCTACATCACCAACGTCATGCATAGAGGCGAAGCTGAGTTTGTAAAACCGGAAAAGACCAAACAAAATCAAAACAACCGCAAATCACTGAACCTCACCTGTCGTTCAAACAGAGGCTGAAAAGCGCTGTTTGCAACTAAATTAACATCTTGTATATAATTATATAGGTGAGCAGTTCCAGCACCTTCTGGATCTTCTTCAATTCGTTTTAATTTCGACTGAATGTCTACAAAACAAATAGAACTATATTTCCATCACAAGAACAAAAACGATCACATAAAACCCAAGTGTCTAAGTCATTTCCTTGACCAACCAAAAGTTCTGCTCCCTGGGTATATCAGAAATAGAAGATGTATTCTATTTCACAGTAAGTGCATAAAAACCATAAAGCAAAGACATTCAGTGCGCGTAAGTTGCCACTCTTAACCATCTGACATGCTATACAAGTTAAACGCCAGAGTAGCTTACCGTCTATGGTTGTTTTGCACGAGACAAAGCACTCAAAGTTTTCCTTCACCAATTGCTTTTTTTGTTGTGTCCGACCTCTGAGGTCAGTTTTTAAAGCTAGTGCACCAGATTCTAGATCTGCTGCACCTGTGTTTTGATGGATACGAGACAGGAACAGCTTTGCATCAAATTTTTCAGAATGGTACATAAACTTCTCTGCAAGACAAAGTCAGGTCAAGTTGTGTTAGAAATGAAGATTTCCCACGGAAACCACTGTGGTAATGCAGTTACACAGTACATTTCTACTCAAAAAGGCGGGGAGGAACAAGGACTTGGAGGCATATGCAAACTACCAGCTTAAAAGATAACACTAAATCAAGTGAAACTTATTGAGAGGAAACAAATTACTAACAGCAGTAGACTAGCAATACTAGCCCGATTAAAGTGCCAAAGACACAATTACCTGTTTCATCTTTTTTGGGTGATTCACAACTACCTATTTAATTACACAATATGTGCATGAAGTATCATTAAGAGAAAAAAATTACATTTAAGAACTCAATAGAATGAGAAAAGATCCAACTGGATATCTCATGATGGAACGACGAAAACATCTATTCCAAACACCAAAGCAACTAGGCTACAGAGTGCATGAAAGATACAGGCTGTAATACTCAATGATGCATAGAGGAGATTTCAATGTATTTCGGAGGAATCATGAAAGAAATTTGCTAGGAAGAAGAATGCCAGCATGGAAGTTATTGATAAAATATATCACGGGCAATGAACTGATAACCTTCCTCTGTGTGGGGCCAGATTTAACTGGTCCAACCACAATGCAGACAAACCACTCCCTACAAAGTCAAAATGGTTTTTGGTATGCGGGAATAGAAGGGAATATTCCCAAGATCAAATTCATTTGCACTGTCGAATCAGGTGTGGGAAAACGTCCCAGTAGTAGTAGTCAACACAGAGAAGGTAAGAACAAGCCCAAGACCCTTAGATTTGAACTAGTGTGGCTAGAAGGTAGAAATGGAAGTCTTTCCAAGTGAAAGGATGCAGGGTATATGATTTGCAACAAGATGCAGTTGTCAAATGCCAAGTTGAAAGAGCGGAATAAGGACTGCTTTGGTAACTTGCAAGTCAAAAGTGCAGCTCTGCTTGAAGAGATTGCCACTCTGGATGGGGCTGAGAAAGAAGGGTCCTTATCTTCCTTGGAGGATAAACATTGAAAGGAAGCCAGGGCTTCCCTTCAAACCGCAATAAATGTTCTGGCACCAAAGGTCGAGGGTAAAAGGTCAAAGTAGGGGGTAAAAACACCAAATCTTTTCATGCCACAGAAAGCAATAGAAGACGGGCAAATATAGTTCAGGGAGTTACTATTATTGAGAAGATTTTCATGAGCCAAAAGTAGTAGAGAGGAATATAGTACATTATTTCCAGCAGCCATTCCAGGCAGAGGAGTTAAAAAAGGAAAAATAGGTTAAAAAAAATAGAGCAATACAGAGACAAGGAGAGAAAGATAAGGATTTGAAGAGAAGATCTAAACTGTTGATATTTTTGGGTGTTTTCTGGGTCCAGTATGGGCATTCGAGAATGGGAGGCCCAATCTTTGAAATGAGACATAAAAGAAAAAGACAGGGTTATGAACTTTTGACGAGAAAAGTAGTTAAACTTTGGTACTATTCTCGTGGGTTTAGTCTGGGTATCAAGCGATGCAGGGCAAATGCCTCGTATTTAATGTTCCTTATAAAATTCAAGGATGTCCTTTCTTTTTTTTTTTTTGTTGTGTGTTTTTTTTCTCTTTTTTTTGGTGTGTATGTGTGTGTGTGTGTGTTTTGCGTGCGCGGGGGGGAGGGGGAGCGATTGCAGGGTTTATTTTTTTGGTTTCAAGTTTTTTAGGGATTCTCGGTTCGTTTTATATGTCAACGATTTTTCAGAATTGTTTGAAAAGTAGTTGGTGTTTATTGATATTTTGTTTAATTAGAGGTAAAATTGCATTATGAGCATTTGTTTTTGTTTTAAGCTTGGACTATTTAGTCAATCGTATTTTGGTGAAGAGCATTATGGACTTTTTTATGCCAGTTAAAATATAAATAAAGGTGTGTGGCTCCCTAAGGGGCATTCACGTGACTTATTTTTTCATAAAGAGAGTAAAAACTCCAGGCTTTTGAAACCCTAGGTAGGGTTTGAGGAAGAAACCCTGTGTTTCTTATACTTGTTGTGTGTGTTTTAGCCCGAATTATTGTTGTTTTTCTAATCTACTTCAAATTCCTTACATCAATTTGGATTTAGAGCTCAGGTTTTTATTCACAACAAAGCCGGGAAACTACAATCAAATCTACGTTTTGTTTATTTTGGCCCAAGTTTTGCCAAATCAGCCTAGAAATTGCTGATTTCAACAAGGTTTTGAACGATTATGTCTAGGATTTGGGATTTCCGCGAACCTATGGCAACGAGAAGAACATGTGGAAGGGGTTTTGTAGAGCCACTTCGTGATCCCAGAGATGAGGAAATTGAAGAACTTAAGCGGCAAGTTCAACAGCTGATGCAGTAGTTTGAGATTTTTAATCATGGGCAAGATAACAATCTTCTGGCCCAAGAGAACTCGAATACATCCTATTTCACCATTGTGCTCCACATGTAGAGTCAAGTGATGCAGAAGGTCTAGGCGTGGGGTACATCGTTCCAAGGATGCTGACTTGACGATAGATATACATATTGTTTTTGGTAAGCTTAAACCTGAGGAGTTTATAGATTGGTTTAATACAATGGAAAGAGTTTTTTATTACAAGGAGGTCCTTGTGAATAAGAAAATAAAAATTATTGCTATAAAATTGAAGAAGGGTGCTTCAGCATGGTGGAACAACTTAGGGCTAGACGGGAGAGAATTGGAAAGCCCAAAATTAATACCGGGGAGATGAAAAAGAAATTAAAGGGAAAATACCTACCTGAAAATTATTTGCGGACCGTTTATTATAAGATGAATAATCTTTGTTTGGGGGAAAATAGTGTAAAGGAGTATAACAATCAATTTTGTCAATTGATGGCTCATAGTGATGTGATAGAAAGAGAGGAACAGTCCCTAGCTTGCTCGCTGGTGTCTATACAAGATATGGTGGTTTTGCAGCATTATTGGACATTAGATAAGGCTTACAACCTAGCAGTTAAGGTTGAAGCTCAGCAAAGGCTTCCATCATCAAGGTGGGGCAGAGCCTAGAGTTGTCCTCCAAGTGGCCATGGAAGCGAATCTGGGGGAAAAGTAGGAATTTGGAGGCTGAACAATACTCACGACATGCTGGTCTGTCCAAACAGCAGGATACAACATACATTGGGGCCAGTTCTAGTGGCCCAAATCGCCCAGACAGTATCATCATTAAATGCTTTTAAGTGTTCATGAACTCGACACATCTCTTCTCAACACCCGAATAGGAGTTTTGTAATTTTTGCTGGGGAGTTACTTGAGCAAGACAGTAAGCTGTTTTTTTATAGAGACCCTATTTATGAGGAGAAACCGAAGGAAGAGAACCAAAAGTGACATTTAATGACCATGGGGAGGCTTTGGTGATTAGGCGCAACCCCTGGGTAGTAGAAGAGCAACTGCTAAGGGACTTTCTTCCCCAAACCTTGCTATTTTATCGTGATTTCATGGGTGATCCCATTTTGATGAGGGTCCTATCTATCATTGATGATGATTTGGTGGGTGACAGCTATGCAGCACAACCAGATGAAGATCTCCAAGGACAATCAATAGATGAAGTTGTCCGTTTGGTCACCAAATCTAGTGCCCATCATGAAGGTGCTCCCTTAGTTTGTTCTTGGGTTCAACCAAGTGTATGTATCATAACTACTCCATTGACATATGAAGACCATTTGCCTAAAAGTGTTTTCAATAGAGTTTATAAGTGTATCAATTGATTGCAAAGACTGTGTTTCAATGCCTAATGGCTCTATTCTTATTGGGCCAATAACCCACAGGTCCCAAGATTCAAGGCGCAATGTACAATTTGAAGAAGATAATAATTTTAGTGCAGGATTCATCTTAGCCTATTTCAAAACTTAGGGACGAGTTTTCTTCAACCAAGCAAGTTTGATGCAAGGACAAATGCCTCGTATTTTTTAATCTATATAAAAATCAAGGATGCTTTTTTTTTTTTTTGAGGGAGGGGGTTTGGGGTTTCCTTTTCTGGTTTTTAAGATTTTAGGGATTCTAACTTTTTTATATTTTTAGGATTTGTTCAGAAAAGTAGTCGAGTATTTGTGGAATATTTTGTTTTATTAGGGGGAAAATTGTCACGGCAAATTTTGGTTTTAAGTTAGGACCATTTGGTCTAATTTTGGTGAAGAGCATTATGGAATTTTGCACTCCAGGTAAAATATAAATAAAGGTGTCTGGGTCCCTATGGGCATTCAGGTGACTTATTTTTCAAAAAGAAAGAGTAAAAGCTCCAGGCTTGTGAACCCCTAGCTTGGGTGTGGAGAATAAACATTACATTTTTTGGTTTGTTTTCTTGCTGATTTTACTGTTCCTTTCAATTTCCTTATATTATCATGAATGGGAGATCAAATCACATGGAGAGATAGAGGACTAGAAGAAGATGAAACATGGGGGAGAGAGAGAGAGAGAGAGAGAGAGAGAGAAGAGAGCGAGAGTAGAAGCAGCTGAAATGAGGAAGAATATCTGCCAAATGAATCCAGCGCCAACAGTGACAAACAACATGATAGCTCATGTGACATCTACCCATCCAGCAAATGAAGAGAAGCCACATTCACAATGTCAACATGGAAACATACTAGCCACTTGCACGCAGGCTCTGTTTTGACTGTTTAGATTGTTCATGATGGATCAATAACTCACAAAAGCAAGGATTACAAAACGAATAGAACTCTCAACTATATTCCTTGAGCTTTAGGGGTTTCCATCTTAGAACTCTACCAATCTGGAGTAACTCAGGCAAGTCCAAGTGGACTCGAGAAATCTAATCACAAAGAGAGAGTGATGCAAATTGTAATTGCTAAAACTGTCTTGGTTTTATTTATTGTTAGTTGCTAACAGTGTTCAAAAAAGTGGACCGCCCAACGCCTAAGCGGCCTAGAAGGCCTGGGCGCATCGCCCAGGCCTAGGCGGACAACTGGGCGGCAGTCCCTAAGCGGCCACCTAGGCTGTACGGAACCCGGCGCTCAGGGCCTGCGCCCCCCACCTAGGAGCGGAATTT